TGTGTTTTTGGTTGCGTTTGTGGTTATGCGTTTGTAATTGTGTGTTGAGGTGCGGCGGGGAACACTGGGCGCGGATGGTCGTGGTTGAGGTCCGGCAGGGGACACTGGCGCGGATGTCGTGGTTGAGGTCCGGCGGACTGGGCGCGGTTGGTCCTAGTTGAGGTCCGGCGGGGAAGACTGGGCGCGGATGGTCCTGGTTGAGGTCTGGCAGGGAACACTGGGCGCGGATGGTCCTGGTTGAGGTCTGACAGGGAACACTAGGCGTGGATGGTCGTGGTTGAGGTCCGGCAGGGAAGACTGAGCGTGGATGGTCGCGGTTGAAGTCTAGCAGGAAACACGGGGCATGGATGATCGTGGTTGAGGTCCGGCAGAGGACGAAGGAGAAGGAGATTCAGAAGGAGAAGGAGAAAATGGACTTAAATAAAATCTAACAACCCTCACCTGACAGGTGGGAAAAAGAAAAGGCCGAGGGCGGCGCCGACAAGGGGCCACAAAACGCAACCCTTTCGAACGCAACGCGTGAAAACTGCCAGGATATTGCGATTTCAATGTTTCTGCGGCGGCCCTGCCGCGCGAAACGCATGTCAAGCGCCAAAAACTGAAGACAGTTGAATATTGCAATTTGAATGTTTCGGCAGCGGCCCTTTCGCGCGAAATGCGTGGCAAGTCAAAAAGATTGCCATTTCAACTGGTGGAAATTTCTCAAGTGTGTAGCTGTCGCCAGAAACGAAGTCGGACGTTGCCAAAGCGTGTATATAATTGTCGTCGAAACCGAAAGCGCTAAAGCGTGTAATACTTGTCGCCGAAAACGAAGTTGCATGGCGCCAAGATGTGTAACTGTTGTCGAAAACAAAAACGAACGTGGCTGGCGCCAAAGTTTGTAATCGTCGTGGATGGTGGACGTTGCCAAGGTGTGTAACTGTTGTCAAAAACGAAGATGGACGTCGCCAAGTGATCAACTGTCGTCGAAAATGAAAGGGAGCGTTGCCAAAGTGTGCAACTGTCGCCGAAAACGATAGTGGACATCGCCACGTCGACTGAACCACCTCCTCAGGACAAGACCTGAACCCCATATTCTGGTGAAACTCCGCGAAAACTTATACATCGATCGTAACACTTTTTCGGGGCGTGACCGGAATCTGGCACGCCATTCTCAAACCACGCCTCTGAATAGGCTTTTTCATTCCGCCCTCTTTTGCTTGTCACTTTCTCTTTCACTCTTTCCAACCTCTACTTCGGACATTTCAATATGTTAGTCTCTTAACACACTTTTGCGCCCCGCTCTCTTTCGCCCGCCTATCTGTACTTTACCTTTTCATCATGTCAGACAGCCGTCGAATGGTCACGTTTTTGATAGCATACAGTGGACCGGCGCTATCTCAAAATTGGAACTGTGTGGGTCGTCGAACCCCAGCGTGAATTGATATATACCGCCTCCTTGTTCACGTATTGACGCCTGCCTTTTGCCAGGCACCGGCTGGTCTTTTAGTGAACTTGGAGTTGACATGACTTTTCAACGCTGCCTGCGCCAATCGGTATTGTCCCACAATGGTTCACTCACCTATTATGTCTCCCCTCGCCCACCACTGTGGTTGAAGTAGGTTGGAACGCCATCTGCGCCCCATCACCATAGACTTGCAAACTGCTATCAGCACCCTCGTCGCCCCGCTAGGACCTGACCGATTGGCCCGCAAAAGCCCGCAGCGAAAGACCTGCGTAATTTGGGGGGCAGGGTTTGGCTCTTTCGCCCCCGAAAGCAACTTCAGGCAACTTCAAGAATCAGCAGGGCTGTACAATAATTGATGACCACACAGGAAGGCCATCACTTCAACGAAGCTCTCTTGCCAGCTTGCGTCTGAGTGCCTCCCTGTCACGTATTGGAACAACGCCGGGCCACAGTCTCCTACTTACTTCGACCAACTAGATGACGCTGATGAGAACTGAAACCTTTCTCAGCACGGAAGACTCCAACGCGGCAGAAACTACTTTGACTACGGCCATGGGCAATCGTACCAAGGCTTGTGACAAGCGAAATGGAAGCAAGAAAGTATAACAGTATTCTTGGTCTCTTGACCTATCCGCTTGCAGCGTCCCAGTCAATGCTCAGTTCACCGCCAATGTCATTCCACGCGACTGTCCAGGACTATGGACAATCTCTTGGCCGACTATTTTGCCAACAGCAATGGCTTGCTCATTCTTTCTGTGTTCAATAGCTCTTATGGTCAGTGGCTCTGTGGTTCCCAGAAATTCTCGAATTGGCAGACTCAGGCCACTACACGCGCGCCGTTGACAAGTTTGATGACAGCATTCCTCGTTCCTTGCTGCGCAAAAGCCCAAATAGCTGACTCAACATCTCGCTGATGGCCCTGGCCAAAACCATAAAACATCAATCGCTTCCTGCGTTGCGCTGATTTTCCAGTGAGTTCTGTCCTGAGCACGATGTCAATCCACTCGCACTCACAATTGTCTTCAAAGCAAGATCCTTGATGAGAACTCACCGACCTCGCTACGGATGGCACTTCGGCCACAAACCGCACCAAAACCCCCTGAGAATTCATGACAAAAACAACGCCTGTTCTTGACAGGTGAACCTCGTGCAAAAAATGGTCGCGCTCGGGAGTTTGTCGCGACGAAGCAATCGCTGAACAACAGTGCAAGAAGACAGAAAGACGGTTTAGCCACTGCAAGCAGGGCGGCGAGCTCCTTCAAGGAAACGAACTGAAAAAGCAGCGCTTTGTCCCCATCGTTTGCGCAAGGCTATTGCGCCAGATATAGCAAACACCATCGACACCATCTGGGACTACAAGACAAAAGCAGCAACCGCCAGCACCATTAACCTCATTGCCTTTCATTTAAATAAACACCACCTCGTTGGAACTGCCCTGCAGCTCTGCGGGGACACGGCCCTCCTAGTGCTAGGATTGGGAAAGCCCAGCCAACAACGTCAGCCCTTCTTCAAGCGCATCAGCAACCGCTACAAGACGATGAAGCCGGGCCACCTTTCTTCGCAAAACCAACAACTTCAGCCAGCTGCGCGTCCCTGCAACGGCGTGCGACATGTCCATATCAAACGCCTTCGCCAAAACAACGCACACCTGGCTGGCACAGGCCTTACCTGATTCAGCAAGAACATTGCGCAGCATACGCTTGGCGCATCAGCAACCGCCACGAGAAAGGCATGAAGCTTGCAGCTTGAACGCCCGCAAACGCACATCAACTACAACATCCTGCCGATCTTTCTTGAAGACATCGCTCCTGACAATCACTACTACTGTCTTCTGCGTAGCATGATGCTTCCTTTGATCAGCGCTGATGCTTACATGGACTGACAGTTTCACTTCGAGTTCACGCGCGGCTGAAGGTTGAATGAAACAAGCGCGGCGCGCATTGACTGACGTGAGCAAATCATTTCCAAGCCGGAAGATATCCATCTTCCGTTTGTAAGACTAAGGTTTTGCGCCCGGCGATTGTGGGGGGGCTCTCAACGTTGGACTTTAAGCGATGGCATTGAGGCCACGTTGGTGCCTAGATTGGCTTTGGGCCTGGCTAATCAAACACATAAGATTTCATTTCACCAGCCGTCTGACTCGCGTCTTCTCTACACCCCCTATACAGGAGTTACACTTGCCGTGGCTGGGACTGACCACTGTGTACATTTCGCACAGCCGGGGCAAGTACCCGCGCCCTGCTGTCAGCGAGGAACTTCGCGCTGGCCAGCGCATATCGCAACGTCGAGCTGCAAGGAAGCCGCGGGCTGCGGCTGATGCGGGCGGGGCTTGCCGTCTTGGCTCCGCGACCAGTGAGTGTTTACGCAGCCGCGCGGCCACAAACAGTAATGATGTTGAGATGAAGAACTGACATCTTAAAATATTGCCTTTTGGGCGCAGATGGCCCAGTTTGAGCGTAGAGATGGAAAGCGCGAGGAAGCAAACCTCTGTGACAAGTTCATTGAAGGAAAGCGCAAAAGCTTTCGGTCATGCGGCCTATAGCTAGATCGACCTTTTCGAAGCGTGCAAAACATGCTTGGCCTTGGGCGCAGCTATGATCAGTTGAGCGTGGACCAAAAGGTCTGATTAAAAACCTGCTCGTAAGGGCCCGCTTACGCTGTTGCTACGCTGTACTTACACAACCACAGTTCTTGCTTACGCGCCAGGCGTCCTCTATAAGAGCTTACGCTTTGCTTACGCTTAACAGGAGGTAATGCCTGAATTTGCGTTTCCGCATAGCCGCAGCTTACGCGCCAAATTTTCCTGCAAGGAATCTCAAGGAGATGAACTTGATGAAGTTGATGAAGAAGTTTCATCTTCAGCAGTTTTTTGTGCTGCCAGTTGCCTGCGCCATTTGGCAGCTCATCTGCTTAAGGCCTTTGCCTTTGCTGAAAGCCTGTCTTCCAGAGATCTCTTGGGAGCTGGCATCTTGCTGGTTCTGTGTCTTCTGCGCCATACGCTGGCGGCATCGTGGACTAGGACCCGCGAGCGAGAGTTTTGTTTACGCACTGCTTACGCGCATGTTCGCGTACATTCTGTCGAAAAAAATATTGGACCGAATGACCCCACATGTTATTGATTTCACCAGACACAGGAGCGGTCAATTGGTGGTTGGTGGTTGGTTGGTTGGTCGGTCGGTCGGTCGGTCGGTTGGTCGGTCGGTAGGTTGGTTGGTTGGTGGTTGTTGGCGGTTGGTGGTTGGTGGTCGTTGGTTGTTGGGCGGGAGGGGCGGGAGGAGGAAGGAAGGAGGAGGCCGAGCGGATACAGCGCTAAAAACAAAAAACCACACGTCAATGCGGGGAACAAGTTCAATGAGATGGAAAAGACATAGTATGATGCTACATATCAATCGCTGGAAAGCCTCTCACGGCCACGGAGTTGCAAAGTCACTCTCTCCAAGCTCTGGATATTGGCAAATGTCTAGTTCTGGAGGCTGACACTGAACAAAGCACGATGGTAGCAGCCTATTATTACAAAGATCCAACATAATATGCTTACGCACTGCTTACGCACACTGAAGCGTCACCATAAGCCTACGCGACCTTACGCAACTCACAGTTTTGCTCTTACGAGCAGGCCTTACTTACACGCGTAAAGGATGGTTTTAGACCATGCTCAATTGTGGAGCCCTGCAACGCCAATGCGTTGGGGGCCCCGGCGCGTGGAGCGGCGCGCGTTGAGGGAATTGAAGAAACACCCTGACCCTAGCTGACTACCCGCCAGCATCTGCTGAGACATGGGTGCGAGGTCAACCGCTCCTTGGCACACGTGCGCTGCGCGCGTGATTAGGCACGCGATGAATCGGTTCACAGGCATCACCTCAAAGCTGCAAAACCCTGCGTCGCGCGACGCGCGGATTCAAAGTATAGCCCCCCGCCACAATGCCCCGCAGCTCCTCGCGCGTCATGTTGCGCGTCTCAGGGTCGCGCGCAGCCAGCAGCCTTCAAGAGAACTGGAAATGTTTGCGCAAGCTGGCGGGCTGAAGAAAAGCAGCGCCTCTCATAGTTGGGGACAATATGCAAGTCCACATGCTTGCTCCACAAGCGCACCTTTCAAACACTTGCAATCAACAAGAGCAGGCGCCTGTCCTTTTGAAACGTAAAAGTTTTTAACATTATTTCTTTCGCAATGTCAAGTGCAACAGGTAAACAAGTAGTTGAACTCTCTGAACACTTACACTGACAGATGACAATGATGAACCAGCGGCAACATTATGAAAGTCACGCGCGGTTGCCTTTCCTGTCGCTTGCGCGCAACTTACTGTCACGACGCTCTCGCGCAACGACTTTTGCGCAAAACTCGCGCGCCGCGCGTCAAGACGCACGCGCATAGCAATACCGCCCGGGCGCTTCAGCCCAGAACCAATCCGTTTGCGCTCATTCGCTGCGTGGGTCGATCGATCTCTGTGCCAACATTGGTATCTTGGTGTCTCCTACGCGCGTGAAGGACGGTTCAACAACTTCGCAAAGGATCGCGCGGTAGAAGCGCAAGCTGGCGGTTGCGAGAATTACCATGAAAACAACAGGCGCCGCAGCGGGCTGGGACGTTGAGTCAGGACCAGTCGCGCGCCGCCATCAAATTTCTCGCTCGTCGCTGGCAAGACGACGTTGTCCTTTGTTGGACTTTGTCAAGTTGGTGTACCCGGCGGCGCTGTGGCCTTGAAGACCTGCGTTCATGCTTTTAGCCGGGCAGATCGCGAGCGCTCATGATTTTATTCCAGTCGCTGTGGAGTTGCAGATTTTCTCTGCTGGAACCAGCTCAGCGCCTCAAATTTCGTAAAACGTTCACCCGCCTGCGGGGCCGTAGAGACCCGTGAGATCCCTTGTGGCAGCACCAGCGCGCTGTTTCGATAGTAGGTTGGCGTCCTCCTCCGCACTTGCCCAGCACTTGTGTGTTTGGCTGACAACGGATAGGGTCAGAACAACGTTGAAGCTGCAACGCGATGATCTGCCAGGCGCTGTCAAATGTTCTGGGGCCATACCTGTCGCGACAGCGGGATTTGAGGTAGCGTCTTGGCGGCAAGGTCGCAAAGATGAGCGACAGTTCCGGGTTTCCAAGACACGGCAATTACCTTGCCCAAGAAGGTGGGGCTTTTCTCGGGTTGGTGTTGTTTTGAGAACTTTCTCGCGCGCGTCCACATTCAGGACATGGGTCCGGGCGTCTTCGTGAAAAAGTCTTCAACTCCTCACAATCATGGAAGCTTTCCGCAACTTGTCGTTGTTTTCTGCAAGACAGAAGGGCTTCACTCTTGCTTTTTTTGAGCGTTCAGCTGATATTGGGTTTGAGGCGGCGCGTCACTAGCGGGCAGTCCTCTGGTTGCTTGGGCGACTGTTATCTACGCGCGCGCCCCAAGGGTATGAATGTAACCACTAGTGATCATGATGGTTGTCCAGGAAATCCCGATCTTTGCCTTGTCTCGTGGCCTGCCAAGACTGTAGGTTTGAAGCGACCACCTCAAACGCCAAGTGAAGAGCAACAGGTTGCAAAACCAGTGTTGACCAGTGTTGAGTTTCATTTGCTCCGCTGCAAGTGTGGGTCCATACGTCCATACAACGGCCTCAGATTTGGGAACTATGTAGACCCCTCTCGCGCAACTCTTTGGCATAGACAGCCCAGTCTACCTCAGAATCATCTGGTGGCAGTCAATTAATATTAGTTAAAGTCTGGAGAGGGTCTGCTGCACAGCCTGGCCAATGGGCAGGTCTTCAGAGGCGCCTGGGTCAATTTGGCCCGAGCATCTTTTGTCATCTCATCGTGGCCTGGGCTGGGCGCCATAGGCTTTGACACAGCTGTCTGAATTGAAAGCGGAAGCAGAGCATGCACCTGTCAAGTATGGCGTGGATAACGAACGGACAACACGGCCTGGAAGCAGTTGGCAGATCTGTTGACCAAAGATATGGCCACCGAGCCGAGTGCCACACGGCAGCTGTTTTTGGTGGAAAGAAAGGGGATAGAAATGAAGAGGAGAGACGGGCTGGGACCAGAAAAGCCCAACGTGAACGACGCACAAAGCGGATTATGAGCACCCAGAAACGCTCTCTTTTTCCAATGTGAGAGATTCACTTTAGAGCTTTCTGGGTGACTCACTTACTTGTGCTTGTGATTGCATGTTCTTTATCGCCGCTTTCACACAGGCATCGATGTCGTGCGCGCGCACGAGAACAAGCTCACGTTGCTTTCGCGTGTTGCACACACACACGTTCGTTTGTTTGGCGCCGTGGTTCTTTGGCATTGGACACCATTTGGTTCAGGGGAGTGGCGCCCCCTTGCACATGACATTGCATAAGTTACAATCAAGCCCTTGTGCCTTGGCCCGAGAATATGGCGAGCTTGGCAACAAAGGTGGCCCCGCAAAAACTTCGTGCACATACCTTAAGAAAGGTAAAACCGCATGAACATCTTTTCGGCCAAATGTCATGGAGACGCACGCGCAGCACTACGATACCATGTTTTTACCTGACTTACTAACAGCAACAGCCGCCAGTAACCAGTACGAACGATGCAAACCCAGCCGCTCCAAAACGACAATGGAATCATAAATCTGCTCCCCGCAATGATCAAGAGCAGGTAGCTGGCCTCGCCTAACCAACTTCCATTCTGCCTTTGGTTCGTTCAAAAAGCATGGCGGGCTCTCGGTTGATGGCGGCGAACAAGCGACGAAGTCAGGAAACCGCTGCCGCAATTCCTGGCGGCGTCTTGAAAACCCCAAGCACGTCGAGATTGAGCGCGTTTCCTTCTACAACATGTGTGATGCGACGCTATTTTGCCATCTTTACGTTTCTGCCACTTCTGTCCAACAAATGCAGTGGCAGTGAAGCGCACATTGAACTGAACACGGTTTTAGCAAAAAGTGCCACAACTCAACCTGCCCCCTGTAAATGTCTTTGAATTGCCCAATTGCCCAGCTATCCTCCAGCGGCATCAGCCAGCGACCACAACTTTCGTCACCGTTGCTACGGTACCTTGAAATTTGAAGATCTAAATATATCAAATGGCCCTGTGCAATACGTAAAAAAACAATGGCCCGGTAACAAAATCATGTGGCGGGAGCACAAATCCACCTCAACCTGGCATTGGCACGTTAGCAGTTAGCAGCAGTGCTTTGTCATACAAGCACTCCCTGATGCTGTACGCCAATGTTCATTATTGCGATGCCAAACTGGTCTGATTGGTTTGCTGAGCGCAGTGATTTGCAAAGGCTGGGAGAGTCACATCATGGCCAGTCAAGTCTTTTCTTTGCATACAAGTTGGCCGCAAGTTGGCCACTTGCTGATTGAATCACTTGCACGTATTTCATCGAGATGCCACCTCTGCAGAATGTTCACTATGGTATGCCCGGCAATTCACTTGTGGTTACTGCCGATGTTGAAAGCATCCGTTCACTATCCATGTGTCCTGGCACTGGTTCTTGTGTCAAACACGAACACGGTCAAAAAGCCAAGTTCGACACTGGGGGTACAACCTCATTGCCTGCTACTTTTCAAGTAGAGAGAACGGCGCAGGCATTGTACTCTAGCAAACGCCTGGGTTAGCATACCTGCAGCTGCACTTGTCTTTTCGATTCGGCGTGTTCCCAAAGCGAGCTGTCGGGCTCACCCATTGGTAGTCGACGGCTTTCTCTTCCAGTCCGATCCAAACTCTCTGAGCCTGAGAGAGTGAAATCTGCACGTGTCAACATCGCAAGTCTCAGTCTAATCTAATCCAGGATGCATATGGACAGCGAGAGCTAGCGTAAAACTTCACAGGAACACTCCTGCAGGCAGGTCTTTCAGTTCAGTTGAGTCTGTCAATGTTAAGTCAATTCAGTTCTTTAGTTGTTTTCTCTTAGTCAAGCTGTGTCCATGACTGACCCCCCACAAACACGGGTCACGCAATACAGCGATTGGGACAAGCGAACCCCTCACTCACCTGGAACAAAACTAACTCCGAAGCTTGGAAAAGGACATCACTATACAAACGCTTAAATTCTACATAGGACATAAAAAGTATGTTCTGTTCCTTATATAGTTGAAATAGAATTGGACTTATACATATGTGTAGTATAATATGAGAAAACGCGCCGAACCCCTATATATATATATGCTTGGAGCCAGCAACTAGGATTCTCATAGGAAGGGTCAAGGCGGTTAACCCGTTCCCATCTCCTTCCAACTTCTGTTTCAACTTCAGAATATGGGCTGCTCATCCTGACGGTGCACACCAAAAAGCGGGGCCATCTCACACAGTCAAATCAAAGTCCTCGGTGCATGCTTGGGTGCTCAACCATGGCACATGGCTGGCAGAATCAACGGCCATGCACCAGGTGTATGCTCATACTCATTAGTCAAAGGGAGGGTGTCAAGAAGGGCGCATCTTGCTCAGTTTTGGTGCTGGGCAGTGCTGTAGGGGTGTTCTGTTCTGCCACTGTTTGCTATAAGTGGCTATAAGCAGGAGAATTGTATAAGCCTAAGCCAAATGATCTCCACATTGCTTACACTACGGCAGTACGCTTTGCACATCGAAATGTTTCCATCCAAACAAAAAGGTATGTTAGCAAGATCCTGCAGGAAACAGTGCGGCGCAGCAGCAAGTCTTAACTTAACATCTCAACAACTTGCAAGCCTCTGCAGTTCATGGAAAGCAACTCAATGCCCAGCAAAACTGCACACTTCAATTCTGTTTTGGTCTCCAAAGCATGCAATCAAACGCTGGATCACATTCATAGCATCCTTTCCCGCAACGCCCCTGAATGATCTGCAAAGTGCCTGTTTGGACTAACAACTTTGCAGGCGCTTCGACGCCCGATCAGAAATTATTCCCCAATCAAACTTTCCCGACCTGTCCATTTGCACTATGCAACAAAAGTTCAACAAGTGTCCAAACAGTCTTTCCCATCTGTTCTCAAACTTGCCAAGTTCCTCTAGCCTGGCTGGAACTGTGGGCAAGAGAGGTGAGCAAGAGCAAGACCACTTTCAGTACAATAACCACCATTGGTTACTCAAAAAGTGACTGGCTATTTTTTTAACCTGAGCAGAACAAGCCACGTTCAAAGTGGAGGAAGTGCAAGCACACAACCGTGCAAGTCCCTGCACGAATTCAAGGGTGCCGAAGCCTGCCGTCTAACTGTCTAACTTAATGCAGCAATGGCTCAATGGACCTTTGGCTCAAAGCCGGACAGAACGGTCCTTGTGGTTGGAATGTCCTGACAGCTGACCAAGTGCGATAAACAACACGATAAAAATAAAAACAATGCCAGTCCTGTCCACTCTGGAGGATCTCGCCTAGGGAAAAACAAGGAGCAATGACAATTGGGGACTGCAAGGCTTGGCTGCAGACCAATGAAATGCTGCAACAATAGGAAGACGGAAGCAGGGGAACTGCTGAACCACATCCTCAGCTTTCGAAGTGGAGACAAGAACCTTCTATGTTGGATCTATAAGATGCAGGCTTCCTGAGGCATATATGTAAGGTAGTCATCTGTGTGGCCTGAGAAAGTGTTTTTCATTTCGTCGAGGATATCAATGCTCGAATGGGTATTGAATTGGACCTGAAAGCACAATGACGGGCGCCATATTGCGGAAGAAGACTGCATCCGGGTGTCGAAGCCTTGCAAAGACCGATATTGGGAATTCTCTTTGCCCCATTGATGTATCCCCATGTACTATAGACTCTACTTGCATCTTGAACTTGGCCTGTTCAGCCCTGCAATGCATACAGGAGCCAGCTCACAATCCTGGAGTGAGTTTGTTTCGCTGATTCATTTTCATTTAGTCATCTCATGTCTCGACTTCCCCTTTCCTCACTCAGTCCAGGAGGTGCAGGAATGTGAGCTGCAACCTTGGCCGATCCATTGGAACAAAACTTGGCTGCAAAGGAGGTTGTGCCTCTTCACCTAGCACTTCTTCGGCAACAGATGGCAAGCCTCAGAACTGCCATAGTAGCTTCCTCATCTTGATACTTCTGCGAGAGTTTCTTGAGAAAGCTAAGGGCTCTGGCAAATGAGTTCATCCATAATCCCGGCAGCTTCAGCCCCTCCCATTAATGATAAGTCCTTGTCAAGCGACAATCGGTGAAGCGAAACGAATGCCTTATCACCGACAATGCAATGTCCGTGCACGCCAGGACTTTGTCGTTGACATCATACAGCCTGCGAGCGCAAGTCAGAGACAACTGTAATACCTTGGCTACAAACGAGGGAGCTACAAAATAAAACTCGTTGGAAGCCCCTGCAACAAAATACGCTGGCATAGAGACTGCATAGTAATCGAATTGAATAACCACAACAAAGCTTGTAAATCGTGTACAACTGGCCAAACGCAGTAAAGGTTGATACATGCTCAGAGCGCTCTTCATTCAGCTTTTCACTTTGGAATGAGGGATACGTGTGGGTGGTGGCGCTAGTAGTGAATCAGGTTACAATCTGTTGAACATTCATTCGCTGAATTTGCTTTTTGCTCAAGCCTAAGCTTTGTCAGTGACGTCTTCTTGCGGCTTGTTTGGTGGCTCCCCCGTATGTGGGGATCGTGTGTCTCCGAAACCCTATGGTTCGACCTTGAATTGAAGAGGCTACGACTCGTGATGGGGGTTTGGCTTTGGCACAGCTGATAGCAGCTTATTTCCTTCACACCGGAGTGAGGTCAAAACAGCTGAGCCGGGCTGATCCGTCTTTCTCTCTTTGACGGAGCTTGAGGGCTCACAGCGGTTTTAGGGCACCGCAGCATCACACAACATTTCACGTCAAAGGCTAATGGTGGTGAATGTTGCAAAACTATTTATTGAGGGCAGGGTCCTGACTGACTTGTGAGGGATGCCAAAAGTTTTGAGCCACCTGCCGCGTGCCGCCGCTGATTAAAAGGCAACTTGACAGCCACATGAACAAACACTCACTCTGCTTGCCGGAGACAATACTTGCCAAGACTGCATGCTGTTTTATGTTGCAGTCTTCCAGCATCTAGCCTTGAGCTTTCCTTCACCTGGCCAATCCAGACCCCGTCTGCGTCTGTGTCGTCTCCAGTAAAGACACTGTCCACATTTTTTGAATGTACTGAAATATGTACTGTGTACTGTAATTTGACATGTTTGTTTCACCTCCAGATCGGTCGCTTCTTCAAGCTGTTTGGGCCATGTCCAACAGGGGCCCGGTGGATACCTTGAAAAAATTACGCCAGCATAGACCCAAATAGCAACACCTATTTGTGCCAGCACCCAAAAATCGGCACCCTGTAGGCACCAGCCTGCTGCCAAATGCGCACACTGCCGTAGGCATCTAGCAGCGGCACCCTGCATCTCCAAAGCGCACACTGCCATTAACTACCTGCAGCGGCACCAGCACTCAGCCGCCAAGCGCGCGCACTGCCATCAACATCTGCCCGCACAAACTGCCGTGAACAGTAGCGGCACCCTGCAGCGGCACCAGCGCCGCCACAAGTGCAAACTGCCAGGGATAGCAACAGCACCCTGCAGCAGCACCAGCACCCAAGCGCGCACACAAGCACCTATTCCTATACTTAAAGTATGACCCCCAATAGCTCAATCTATCTGGAAAACAAAAACCTAGAATAAAGGCCTTTAGTGGTGCGCACCTCGTTCACCTCAGGCACCTTTGCCCGCGAGCAAAGCACTCGAATGGTGCTGTCTGGATCCTGGCCACAGGTTGTGACCATTCGCAGCCCTTCTATATATCAGTTGCATCCCACTTGAACTCAAAGACAAATACGTACATTGTTTAGTTCAGTATGTATGTCTATGTTGTTTTATTTGATCCAACAGCTTCTGCTCCAATTACTTCTGTGCCTCGAATGGGCGCAGCTCCACTGCCAGGGTATGACCCGCAATACCCTCTTCCTTGCACCGTTGAGTCACACTGACAGTGTCAGACTCGCTGGCACTACGTCATGATGACAATATTCACAACATTCACTGAATTCACTCACCTACTTTCTGTGCCTCGCGAATCAATTCCCAGCGTCTGCGATCCCAGAAGATGGAATTGGCCTCACATCATCTATGACCCCGAAACCCAAAGGAGAAGGAATGATGTTCCACACATCTGCCTCTTCACACTTGTAGCAGGCAAAGCCTTGATACTGACTACTGTGAGGAGATGCAACCAAATCTGCATCCAAGCATGACACACTCAAAATACTAAGGAGCCTGCCATACCCTTCCTCTGTCAGACTAGCTGCCAAACTTGCGCCAGTCTTTTCATTTGTGTCCAAGCCCTGATCTGCGTTCACTTCTAACGGTAAAGCAAGAACCCTGAAATGCAGTCAATTGCGCTGTGCCTGCAAGCAAATCAAGTCCTCAGAATGTGCTCAGGAACATGACAGAGTGCAATTGAAAGAATCTCATGAGTAGACACATCGCAATGACAGAATCGGGAGCGATGATTGCACTGGGTTAGTTCATTTCGTGGTCACCTAGCCCAAAAAATCTGCGTTCTCAAGCGAAAATAACCCAGCATAGATTGCTGCAAGAAACTCTGCGAGAACATCTGAGTGGCTAGCAGTTTGGTACACCAAGACTTGACGCTTCACTTTCGCAAGTCTTTGCGATCCTTCCAACATTTAAATAGGGAAGCAATCCGAGCTCCGTGAAAGCAAAATACTCAAGAACTTGTCCAGCCTGCTGTCTGGTCAGCCAGTGCGTCTGCTATCGAATACGACAAAACACTCACTACGTCACGCGGAGCCTGCACGCAAACTAGCATGTGCTGGAAGAAGAGTTTCATTGTCATTCAGCATTGCAAAAGGAAGTGCTTTTGAGGTGGAGCCACTTCCAGAACTTGGCAATGGTTTCCTCCTAAAAACCTAAACTGTGTGCCTCCTGCTCCTGCTGTTGCTCCCTTGAAGCTGTGAGGTACCTTCGAGTGCTAAACAAAGCACGGAAGAAAAGCAATTTCAGAATCCCAAACGTGGTGAAGGCCTGACTGCAGCCGCCTCGGCACACGGCTTTCTCCAGAAACTCTTGTCACTCCAAGAATTGTTGACCACTTGAGGTACTGGCTGCAAGGTCCTGCAGCAAAGTCTACCAAAAAGATTCCAAAGACCGCAGGAACAAACAAAACTTGACCATCACATCTTCACTGTTCAAGTCCTTGGAGACATTCTCCGCATGAACAAAGCTTCGCACTTCAAGCTGCGTTCGCAAAGAGAAGCTTCCTGAGATCAAAAGGCAAGTCATTGAAACTCAGAAAGAATATGTCACAATACAAACAAGTGTGGACTTAAACTCCATCCAGATTGAAAAACAAGTGGATGCTGGGTGGGAACTGCCGTGTTTTTCTGAGGTCGGCAAGGATCCGTCAAAACTGATGTTCAAGTGCTTGAGGCTCCCCAGCTCCAAGCAAAAGTCAGTTGTTGGAGGCAACCTGAGTTGACGATTGGACGGATTTGAGCTTCAAAAGTGCCAGTTCTGAGAGTCCCTGACTTCGACAAGGCAGACTGTATGCGCCCCAGGCCCTGCAAGTCCTCGCCCGAAGGCGACCAACGAGTGACACAAGAGCTGTCCTTTGACTAGCGTGGTAAGCTTGTTGCGTTGGAATCAAGTGGCGCGAGCTTCGGTGACTGTTTCCCCTTCAAAGCAACGGTTTCTTTCGCCCAAGCCCTCTGAAAAGCTTGTGACAAAGACCGCACAGTGGACCTTCAACATGGAGAGGCGGTGGCACCAGTATCTAGGCATCATACGCATCTGGCAGCGGTTATCTGCACCAAGGTTCCAAAGCACACACGGCCATACACATCCCTGCAGCAGCACCAGCGCCCAAGTTCCGAAGTGGACACGGCCACACATCTGGCAGCTCCAGCACCCAGGCTCCATAGCTATCGGGGAAAAAGTGGAACCTTCCCAAATACACAATTCAGTCCACCACCGTTCCCACGTTTTCTTCACTGCAGGAGATAGCCTGCCGAAAGGACACAAGGTCTTGATCCCTACTGATCCGTGTTTAGCCTTGAGATGCCTTGAGGATATTTACAACGTGCTTGGTCATTCATGATAGATCTTCTACGGAAGTAAATGCAGGCCAAATACAGGAATCATGTGTGTTTAAGCGCTTCTTTGGCTGCTGTCAGACGGCTATGTTTAGTGATGGTGAAATGGATAATGCGAGGTGGGACGAGATCCGAGACAGAAAACACACGAGATAGCATTGAGGTGGCATGACACAAAATGGCATCGCATGAAAGAGTTGAGCTCAGCAACTTGAGATTAAATGACAAGATGTCAGCTTGTTTTGTCGTGTAAAACGACATAAGATCAGGTGAGATGAGGACAAGACATGTGTTTAAGCTTCGAACCCAAGCGAGCTGTTGGTCCTTGCTGAATCCATCTTTAAGTCAATTCAACCCAAATAAATGTGTAGGCTGCGGGTTCTTGCTGATTCTCGGGGCAAACAAATACTAGTTCCAATCAGTATGTCAGGTCCTGATCAAATGTGACATGGACCTCACATGTTGTGTTCTTTGTGAAAATCCGTTCAATGTTCTATCTCTCTTGGGCTAGTGACTAGTGCTGCAACTTGTGAAAATGACCTATGCATCCTTGCATCAAAGCCCTAAGTGATTTTGGCAAGGCATGCGACCACACCTCGAAGGTAAAGTGGCAGTCATTCAGTGCCTGAGAAAGCCAAGCTGAGAAAGGTTTCTTCCCAAAATGCCTGCAGTGCCTCTGCCAGCCAGGGCCCTTTCTCCTGCCATGACAATGCGCAATACATTGCGGATGTCATCAAGCCCGCTAGCTGCAGGGCAAACACGCATTAAGCCATTAAGCTGTGTGCACCTGCGGAGCACTCGCCCTCTTTAGGATTAAGTCCAGGAGGTATCTGCAAGCAATCCCGACTGACTCTGAAAGTCTTGAGAAAAGCTTGAGCGCTGCGCTCGGTTCTGTAAACAGAATTCCCTTTAGCCTGTTGTGCTGAAGAGTGAAAGGCTCAAAGTAGAAATCCAGGAGTTGCCGGAGCTGAGTTGCAGCGCCTTGAATATGCTGGAGTAAATCTGCATCCATAAAGGTTTACCTGCATTTATGGTACTGTATATATCCCATTCACAGTTTCACAGTAACAATGGATGGCAATGGTTAGTACAGTAAAGGCCTTCTCAAAAGTAGTGATACGTAATCGTTTATCGACTGTTACATGTAATGGGACACACCCTACACATATATGATCAAACATACATAGATACATTGCAATGCAGAAGGGTAGATCTTTAGGGGTCTGCTGTTCAAACTCAGCAAGGGGCGGCTGGAAACCCGCTTTTCTGCGTGGGCCTCCTGCATTGAAAAGAAATGGCTTCCCAATGACCGGAGCAGCTGAATCCCTGCCTGACGATCCAGGTCGCCTACAGTCTGAGTCAAATTCAACAAACATATATATATATATATATACACAGTATACTGACGCCTTTTGGACCTAATCAATTGGGTGTGAACTGAACAAATTACTTCGCTTTCTGGCCACAAACGCTTACAACTTTGCAAACAGCATGCCGTCCCCACTTGCTAGCCCATGCTTACCTGGTCTTGTATCTTCAGGTGATCTTTCTGGGCTTCGACATTTGCGAACAGTAAGTCGGCGCCGGTCAACATAAAGCACCTCCGCACTCAATCGACATGTTTATCCTCTCCCGGCCCAGAAACAGCAAGAAATAGCGTCACCTTGGAGTCTACAAGCGCCCAGGCCACTTCTCGTGCTAGAGCCTTGGGTACAAAATAGTAGCACTAGCATGCGCTAGCTCTTTGCTCGATACACCAGGGCGCGAGCGTCAGATGTGTGAGCATTGTCTGGGTATCCCAAAACACCAAGCCTTGCAGTTTGCAATATTGTGACAGGATGTCGCATCTTTCTCCCTCCAGACCTGTCTGCGTAGCGCCCAACAATCCTTGGGTGCGACAACTCTTGACTTCAAAACTCGTCGACAGCTTGCAATGCCTGTGGGTGTGGCCAAGTGAGGGGCACGTCCGCAGTTTGCTGAATCTTCGCTTCCAGTCTCGCATCCTTGAGGCGCAGTGCGCAACATGGCATCACCACGGCTCACCCAAGGCCTATATAAACAAAGCTGACTGCAAGAGCAATGGAGACACGGATCCTCCAAGAAAAGCCGCTCAACAGACTTTCGCAGCTTTGTAGCTCGGGGCTGCCAAGATACCTTATCAATGAAGCAGCAAGTTTTGCATTGCAAGCTTTGCATCGTGTTTGCATAGTGTCGCAAAGAGCAGGACAAATGCACCCTGTACCACAAGGTCAGAGTCGCCGCCCAAGACTTTGCGGAGCAACCCTGGCGAGAACGACATGTGAGGCAAAAGCGGGTGTAGGCCACTAGGTTTAGTACACCTTTGCTACCATGATGCTTCATGAGTATAAAATATCCTTCGGGTCTAAGAGCTTGATTCAAACCACCACACCCTTGTTTCACATGAAACACTCCGCTGCTGCGGCGCCTAATTCATGTATAACTACATATATAACTCTTGCCAGCAAGACCCTCTGAATCTGTACACTCTGACGATTCCCGCATCGCCCGTGAAAACGAAGGCATGCCAAAAAAGCTTGAAAGGGGTACCTCCAAGAATGGAAAGGGTATGCTCTGCACTTGCTTTGAGAATATGAGAGAATTGAGACAGTGACAGTACCGTTACCAATTGGATCAAGACCGCTCGAGCAATGCTTCATTCAACACCAGAAATACAATTTCTGAGCATCGGGCAGCTCCAAAAGGGCTTCGCTGCAAAAAGCGTTTGGCCTATAACGAAACGAGTGTATTTCATTTCCACGTCATTCCCGTCCTCTCACTTTCACTCCTTTGTGCGTAAAAGCTGGCGTTGGCTATCATTGCAACTTCTGTCATACAAGGTGTCCTTTGCAGGACTTGGACACTAGGACACTCGGACATCGAAGGACACCTGCCTCTTTGCGGAGTTGTTCTTCGGGGCCAAGCACTCGGGCACGACGTTGAGTCTACACAAATTTGAGTCTACACAAATGCTCAAAACATCAGGAAACTAAAGCATGCTAAACAATACACAATAATGCTCAAAAAGGGAAGTGAGGTCCCCCTTAAAAATGCCTTACCTTCCCTTTTCCGACTTTCAATTTTGTGTGTCCATTCCATCTCAAACTTGAGAGCGTAGTCAGTCAATTCGCACTTTTTATACTTTTGCCAAAGCTCCCAACCCAAGCATTCTTGGGAGTCAGGATGAAGAAAGGAGCAATGCACTGCACCAATGGATATACTTACATGTTTGTTTTACATCCAATGAAACAACACCATATATAACCCCATCCTTTCTTGCGCCAAATGGGAAACCACAGCAGTCGTGACTATCAGCTAGGCTAGGCCACAGTAGCTTGAACGAGACGCACTTGACTTTTCTTGGACTGCCACAGCTTCTTCACTTCAAGGGCCTTCCTTTTGCTTGCGTTCACCTCCCTGGATAACGCCCTTGACCAAGTCATGTCCCGGGCAAATTGTTCCGCACCAAGATGATAGTCCTGCCAAATGAATGTCAGATTCAAATTGCAAAAGAAGGACAACTGGAATGACTTGCTTTAAGTTAAACCTTTACAATCAGCACGAATTGCGAATCAGTTTGAAGTAGATTTGTAGATATTGGCCACCACTGTCGGCACAAACATGCACTTACGCACAACAGCTGGACGCGGGTTGTTATCAGCTGATTACATTGCAACAGCATGCCCCACAGGTTTGGAAAGCCGTTCATGTTTCTATCTGACAAGGCTGTATACCTGCTTGCAAAGAAAAGGCATACCATGTGCACATGGCTGCCCAAACAATTTATATAGTTTTCTTTTGGCGGCATGTTCTTGCATCAGGAGTTCGGGAGAACACACTCAGCTGTAAGATGTTGTTGAACATATCGCAGGCACTAAAATGTTGCTGAATGCATCGCAGGTACGGGCCTTGACAGCTCGACAGACGCCCAGTGTGACGTTTCTCGGAAACCCCTTGTACCCCTGAGCGGAATATAATATATATATATATGTTATTGAGCTGACTACGAGACAACGACATCAGGAAACACAGCTCCAAACAGAAGGGGTCTGCACCACAATGGTAGGACGCACTTTTGTTTCGTCAGTGCAAAAGTTTGGCGGCGAGAAGCTGCTCAAAGTGTGCAATCTTGGCCTTTTGCAGCTCGCGCCACATGCATGGCTTTTGCGCGTCTGTGTATAAAACCCTTCTCCCAAGCAGCAACGCTTGTTCGCCTAAAACGCCCTGAGCGCGATTCCACATGTCCAAGACCTTCTCGCAGAAGGCCTTTGATAGCCCTTGCTTGCAACTGAACCACAACTCAGAGCGTTGGCACGCGGATGGCTTCCGGAAGCTGGGCAACCCTCTTCAGCTTGCGTCCACTTGACCTTGAAGGCAGAAACCAAGCCCCAAACAAGCACACCCAGCACCCACGACGATGCAATAAAAGTAATCTCAACTGCTGGGGCGTCGGTTGCGATCTTTTGGGTTCTCTTGGCTGGAAGCTGCGCAACTCTTTGCAGTCTGTTGAGCGGCTCTCAAAATGACCGTCCCTGAAAAGGAACCCAATCAGGCGCAATTTTACGGGGCATATTACCGGCATACTTTCATTGAGGGTCTTGCTGAAGTCGTGGCTGTTCAAGCCAAATTTGGTTTCCAAAGCTGCCAATTGCTGAAACAAGCATTTGCTGCCGCCGCAAAGTCCCTCGTCCACGACACCTATAGCCTCCGCTGTGTCTTTGCAGAAACATGAATCAAAAGGCACCGGTTCTGATCAGTTGCGCGCAGGGCTGGGTATTGTTGGAAGCGAGCATCGATTCATCGATGAACCCGTAGGCCTTTCTGTCTCCAGCTTGCAATCCTTCTTAAATTGAACTGACATGGCCTTGGCACGCTCTGGCGCTGGTTCGATGCCCAATTCAGCGCGGCCCTGCAACTATGCGGGCTTCACGTGAAAGGTTTGAAGGGGCCAATTTCTCTGGAGCTCCGTTTTTGCAAGGGCTGCAAGTCTAACCTTCTTTGCATGTCCACTGCTTCACCTTGCGACAGCAGTTGCTTCCCCTTCTGAGCCGGCTGCTTTCCAGGCGGGTATCCACAGGCGCTTGAAAATGTCTTTTGTGGAGCAACTGATTCCTCAAAAACCATGGGGGCAATCTGGTAAGGGATCGCATGGCGCTCAAATCATGCGCACCCGGCTTTGATTGCAAGATCGCGCTATGGGTGGCCCCGTGCGGCCGAAAGCTCAAGATGCAGGAGCGTTGCAAGGTTTTGGGCCCTCGCCTCTTCTCAACCTTCCCGAATTACCATTCCTGCCCCACTACCATCCGCTTGTGACCCCTCTAGTTGATCTGAGCGGCCCCATTGATTACTAGTGTAGCCAAGCCAATAGAATTTGAGAATTCCAGCGTAGACCCCGAGCAAGAAAACAGAAAGATCTGCCCTGATTGGCTTGTGTCACAAAGGTTAGTGAAGCTATATAGGCTCTTGTGCTGAACAAACGTCAGAGACGAAGACTAAGCCTCTAAGGATCGAACACACACGGCCGAAGACAACTGGAGACGATACAAGCAATCCACAACCAGAGACAACCGGAGACCAAAGAAAACCCTTCCAACAGTTTGCAAAAAAACACCCTTCCAAACATTAAACCTGTTTGAGCAAATATGCCAGACACTCAGGGCATACACTCTACGGGTTCCAACTACACGAACCACACCCCAGAAACTCGAAACTCATTTAAATGACAAGGAGAAACGGTCAATATGCCACAAGCACTCGGAAGTCAAAACACAAATGACTTTGTCATTCGATTTGAGCAACAAAGGCCAGCAAAACTATGTGATTCTGTCCTTGCAGCAAGTCGGACTGCTTCGGACGCCACATGCAGTCTTCAGCCTTGAGCAAAATATCACATTTTCTTTCGTCCAAATAGCTATATCACAGAGAGGCACTGATGCATTGAATGGCACAGGCAGGTAGAGAATTTGCAAATCCTCCTCTTGATTTCAGAGACAAAATCCGCTCTTTCCACTTCAGCACCAAATGCATGTCTTTTTTGAGGGGCACTTAATGTGCACCCCCTCCAGAGAGGACCTGTCAAAGTGGAATGTGGGACCATCAACATGTCTTCTATTTGGATGCATGATCAAGATGCTAAGCAGTCATCATCATATGAGCTTGACTCTCCTGAGGCTGCAAATCAAAGACCAGAAACTCGATACTTGTGACACTAGGCATCCAATTTACGGGCAGTCGTTCGCTACCTTGAAAATACATTCTCACATGCAGTTTATGATATTGCGAGCCTTTTTGAACCTCACTTAAGAGGGTCTGCGGTAAGTGCGTGTCATCTTTGTGTAGGTGGAGTGACTCATGGTTGCCACTCCTCCTTGATGCTCAAGGCTAAACCTTCTTTGTGCCTTTGCGCATCACGTCAGAACCTAAAAGGTCAAAGCGGGACTGTCCAAGAAGGGATAGCGCTTTTCCATTGCTTTAAAGATTCTAGGATCCTCGATGTTTCGTGTCCCTCCTTGGTTGTCCCACCACCGAGCTTCCAAGGCCTGTAGATGCCTCTTTGCTCGTAACCCTGACCTTCCTGCCGGCGAGCTTAAATCTCCAAGCTCTTGAAAAGTGACGTTCATGATCCATGCCTTTTTGGCATCATAGGTCATTGACCTGTCATGCGTCACTCCATCTACCGTTCGCCTCTCACTTTGCTCACGAGCAGTCATGCTTGCGTCTTCATCTGCTTCACTTTCTGGCTCTCGGGGCTCAAGGTACTCCATGGGGATGTTCACAATTTCTCCACTCTCCAGCTGAACCATCGCCGTTTCACCTGGTTGGAGCTCTTCTCCTTCTGACATTACAGCATCAGTCTGTTCTCCTGAAGTCTGTGCCTGCTTCCTGTCGATCTCGGATAGCAAATAGGCCTGAGCTTCCTGTTTAAGCTTCAGGAAATCAAGCTTCCGATTGGACTTCTGGATATAGTCCCAACGCTGCCACTCTCCATCTTCAAACTCCTCTTCATCTACATATCCATTGGCTTTGACTAAACCACGATGGATCTTCTGAATCAGGCTTCCCAGGACTGCGACTTCCTCCTTTCTCTCATGCTCAAAAGCGTCAATCATCATACCATCGACTCGTTGAGCTTCTTTCATTTCTTCAAGCTCTTCCATGATCTTCTTGATCTTCTGCCACGTCTTGTAGCTTGCCAAAGCCAAGCCACCTATGATCATCACCAGGAAGATCACGATCACCCACATAGTCCATGGTGTAGAAGAACTTGCTGTTGTCATAGTCACCGTGGAACATTGGGTTTCTGGATTGATCATCTCTCCAGCCACATGCTCAAGACCCTCCAATAGCAAAATGCGATTGAGCAATTTGGCCAGTTTGCTGATCTTCGATTTGCTGACCATTTCATTCTCACTTCTCTCACGCTCCTCTTGGCCAACTTTCTCTCCACGTCCATTGTAGACATTGCACCAGTTCAGAATCAGGTTTATGCGGTTCTTGGGTAGGGGTTTTGTCCCCAAATCAGCCACATTCTTCACCGTCCCAACTGGCATCACTTTTAGCTGTTCCTGTAGTACAGCATCTTGGATCCACAGGAGTTTGCCTGATACATGGCGTGGCTTGCCTGGTCCTCTTCGATGACAAAGGTGTAGAGCTGCTGAATCGTCCACCATACAGCAATGCGCAACCTCCTCTTCTGTTCGAAATTCCAAGCACCTTCGAAGGTATATGCCATCTGCCGCGCTGCTGACCAAGGCATTCAACTCTGCTTCTGCTGAACTCAGACTTACTGATTTCTGTCCACGTGAGGAAGATGCTACCACCATGCCGTTGACCATGTGAATAGCTGAACTTGTTGACCGACGGTGCCCTTTTGCTCCTGACCAATCACTGTCTGAAAATGTTTCCAAAATTCAGCGTGTCTCAAAGATCTGATGCACCAATCCAT